GTTCGTTTTTTTATGCAATTGATAATTTTAGGACATGATAATATATATATACAAAGGTAAGAGGATACCAAGGGGATAATCAACCACAAGTGCATCATTTACAAGTCGAGGAACAAAGATAACAGACACTTTATGTATTTCGTATGCATGGAATTTGTTGATATGTCATAATGTGTGTCTATATTGTTGTATGTTTGATTTGAATAGCTCATTAGAGCTTTTGTAATATGTATTTGTTTACTAAATATTGACTCTAAACAAAGCTTTGAATTCAATTGAATTGAATTAAAAGCCAAATATATCCGGCCTAGGTCAAAAGACAACCAGTCATGGCCTGCTTAAGTGTTTCTTGCCAAAAATACATTTATCGTCCTCGAGGTCAAAGTTCAATGTCACATGAAGGTCATAATTGTACGGGGATACACCAACGCATGATGACACATCCACATGCCAAAGATGTAAGGTCAAAAGAAGAAGAAGTTATGGCCTGGTCGTGTTTCTTGCGAAAAAAATACATTATTTGACCTTGCGGTGAAATTTGAAGGTCACATGAAGTTCATCATGATACAAGACACTTAACCTCATGATGTTACATCCACATACCAAATGTCTAAGGCCTAGATCAAAAGACAAAAAAGTTATGGCTATTATTTACTATCAGAATGGATCTTGCTCATATTTATTGAGCCAATTTATGTGTGGGGGCATATTTTAAACTTTAAAAGAAAAAAATCTGGTTGTTAAATTGTTTTAAAATTTTGCAAGAATAACATACTGATATAGCACTTCAAATGGTTAGTTTTTTGAAAAAAATTAAACCACACATTTTTTTTTAAAATTTCTTCTTCAAATATTTGACCCATTATATTCACTATTAGGGACTGAATCTGAGTGCCCCCTTTTTTAGTTCGGACAAAAATTTAAATCCAGAATGAAAAATTTACAAGTAAAGGGTATCGGTGAACTAAAATTTGTCTCAGTTATCACTATAATTTATGCTATTGTCAATTAAGGATTTTTCTAAAATATTAACATATATACCCCTATACCCATATTTCTGAAACTTCTAAGCTTGGCAGATATTAGCATGTAAAAGATGCCATATTTGAGTTGCCGAATCTTTCAAACCTATGGTTCAAATCTTATGAAATTTTTATAAGATATTTAGCTAGGCCTAGTTTGTCAATGAGAGAAAAACAAGAAAAATTAAACAACAGGGTTTTTTTGAGGTATAGTGTTTTGGCTACCACTTAAATGTCATTGTTTTGAAAAAAACAAAAACAAAAAAAACAAAAAAACAGCAAATATGACTAGAACAAAAAGGTTTAAGGAAACTATAGTTGATGAACAGAAACTTAGGATGGGAAACTGTTCAACAAAATAGGATCTACAAATAAGTCAACATTAAAGAATCGCCAATGAAGTTATTGCCCTCGAAAGATTATTTTACTCCAATTTCTCAGTTATGCAGAAATCATACAGAAAAAAGTAAAATCACAAAAATACTGAACTCCGAGGAAAATTCAAAAAGGAAAGTCCCCAATCAAATGGCAAAATAAAAAAAAACACATCAAACGAATGGATAACAACTGTCATATTTGAGTTGCCAAATCGTTTACAGATAGAGATAAACTGAAAATAGCAAGTTAAGCACAATGAGATCTACAAGTAAGTCATAAGGCCGAAATTGTAAACCGGCACCTGTTAGGAGTTATTGCACATTAATGACCATTTTAACTCATTTTATGATTTGTTTGCAGAAACAAAGATATAAAGAAAGCAACAATGTATCACAAATAAAGGCAACAGTCAAAGTGTTCAGCAAAATAACAAACCACAGCTGATGGAGAGAAACTTTGGAGAAGAAAAATGTTTAACAAAATGAGTCATCATGGCTGAAATGTCAACCGACTCCTTATTGTACCTTTTTCCCATGAAGGATGACTTATTCCCATTTTTTTGCATTTTTGTCAAAAAATATAGAAGTTGGAGAAAACTTTAAAAAGCAAAACAAGATCATCTACAATTAAGACAACATGTCCAAATTGTTACATAAGTGATAGTATTTGAGGCCATTAAATGACTTTTTTCTCCCAAAAACTTTAAAAGAAAATCGATACAAGACCTACAAAATGCCACTAGATAAGATCCAGTTCTACAAATAAGCAAACATAACTGATTGCAATTAACAGACAAAATTTAAATCAAACTGGCATGTTCTTTGTACAATGTGAGCGACTCAGGCTCTTGAAAGCCTCTTGTTATGTATTATTCCAACTTTAAATTACCAGTCAGTTATGCAATGTATTTAAATTGTAAATTAATAATTAGTTCAATATGTTGGTTCTGCTACGTCAGTTACCTGAATGAGGGGATAGATATTAGAATTGCAACTTGCAATAGGGTGTATGGTTGATAATAGCAGTGTTGTTTGCCACATTCCATATTTGACCTCCTCAAAGAATCTTTGCAGTGGGTTTTAATATTTGTTAAAGTTCATCTGTTCTTTCACATGCATCAAATGTATACCAATCAAAACGATTTATAAAAGAAAACAACGGAAAACATATTTTGATTCAATGAATAAATTTACATAACAAATCTATAATCAAATAATTATACATAAAAAAACTATATTTTAACTTGATTAAAATTTTCTCATTCTACACTAAAATCATGCAAAGTAGGGGTTGCTGCTATAACTAGATGAATAATACCTGATGTAGCTATTAGTTATTTGGTTTTTTAACATTAACAAATAGTGTGGTATTCAATTGTTCTCGTTAGTAGATTCAAGTTCGTTAAAAAGAGTGTTAAATCAGATCTAGATTCCGTTTTGAGAACGGTTCTAACATATTGATTACTTGAATCTAATTTTGTTGCACGCACACATATGTGTGTATGTATACATGAGCTGCAAAATGTTTTGGAGGACCTAAAAACACCTTTTCGAATATCTTGTAATCGAATACCATATGCCGACATTGACCTTACAAAAACAAATTACTAAAGGCAATTACGAAGACAAAGAATGGGAGGTTAACTATGTTCTTTTACACTTAAATAATTTCAGTTTTGGCAGGTCTTAGGGTTTCTCTGTAGTTTGTTTTGTTTTCTAGCATTTACAGATCACGGGCAAACATTCCAATTTTGTATAATTATATCTTTTTTTCCAATCAATTAAAATACTTGGTCAGACATTTCTGGTTTACGTTGAATATGTGTCTCAATTCACTAACGATCTGTTTCCGCGGTCTTAAATTATGGATACAAAAACAGTCGTCCGTTCTGAAAATTAAACGATTTTCTCGAATCTTGATTGTGGCATGTTTACTAAGTGTGTATTAGTGTGTATTAGAATCGCAGATGGCACATGCATAGCAAGAGACGCTTCCAGCTCGACGCACCATTCTAGCTCCTTTCTTATTGTTTGCAATTCTCTCAGTTTTTTACCCTGATTTACATCTTCTTAATTGGTCAGTTGATGTTCATAAATTATTGATAATGTAATATTTATGTAAAATGTTTTATTATACATGTTATAACCGACCTAAAAAAAAACGCAAACGTAAATCGTCAACCACTTTAAACTGTTTAAGTGATTGTTGACTGGACATTTTAATTCGCAATGATTATAGGATCATTTTCAGATATTGACATAGGTCTGATTGCTTAGTATGTTTTTTTCATTTTCGCCTATAAAACTACGGGGGAAAGACTAATGGTAAGATAATTACAACAAAAAATGTAGTAGATGTCTGTTAAAACGTTTCTTTCACATAATATTTTATCTTTATAATAATCAAATTTCTAAAATATTTTGATTCGAGTGCGAAAAGCTATTGAACAAAGAATACAAGTTTTATAACCATAAAATGTCGTGATATGTCACTTTGCAAATAAACAAATGATGAATAAATAAACCCAACAATTATTATACAAAATATATTTCATTTGAATTATAAGATAAAGAAAATAAAAAACACATAAATCTATCAACAACAATGAGTTTTATGAAATTATTCCGTAAATACACAATGAAATCTGTATCACTTTTTTCAAAACTTTTTTTGCATTAGAGTTTAATAAAAATAAGCGATGCCCTTACATCATCAAAAAAAAAAAAAAAAAAAAAAAAAATAAGTTGATGATTGATATGTATCATATATCATAAAAATCCGACACACATCGATTTAATGATAAGTCCTTTATCACAGTTTTGAACTATACCTGGATTGAACAATATTAAATATTTGATTGTGGAGTTTATCAATTTAAGAGAGTTACATATTTTTTGTAGAACGAAAGCAAAACCAATTTAAAACGATCAATGAACAATCTTAAATAATAAAAACAGGAATTCAAAATTTCTATCTAATAATTTTGAAGAAACACTTTGTTAGTGGCATATCTTTCACTTTCTTTGTTTATTATATGATATTCCATTATTTTTTTTCTGAAAAAAGGTAGAAACAATGAAAACAAAAAATCTTTGCATAAACATATACCGTACAATGAATTTCGTCATCATATATAATTGTACAGCTTTCTCGGTTATTAAAAGTCCTTGGCTTCTTAAATATGTATGTTATTGAATGATAATAATTGTGCTTTTATTAAAAAAAAAAGATTTACGTTTGTTCCATTTGATCTATATCTTTCATTAACCTCTCTGGGATCTAAATATACTATTGATAAAAAAATAATTTATGATACCATTTTCCTAGACTTTCCTGGTTAAAGAGCAGACATTTTTGGTTTCAAAATTTATAATCTATTGACGGTTGAAAATTGTGAAAAAAATGCAAATGACATTTAAACTACTACTTTCCTTTCATGTAGTCAATATAATACAACTCTCAACAAATAGTTAGTGTAAACGTTTCATATTTTCATTCATGAACAGTATTTGTCTAATATGAACTCATTGCCCTTGTTTGTCTCGTTGTTCAAACTTGACATCAAATAATATAAATGACAGTAATCATATGGGCATATAAGACGTATTCTTTAAAAGGAGGTATGATAAGTTCCCTGTAATTGCAAAAATACTAAACTCATTCAAGCCTTTCAAAAGTATTTTTGATTTCTGATAAATGAACAGATTATAATAATATGGACACTTTAGTACAGAACGGTCACTTGTGATGTCCTATGACGTCATAAACATGCCAAGTTGACGTATATATGATAAAACGTGACGCAAAGTTTAAGGTCGAAATATAGATGAGCCTCAGCTTTATCCTTAATCATTAACATCTTTGTACATTACATCAAACTGTTGCATATTTCTAAATATTAATGACAAGATATAAGAATTTGGCAAAAAGCTGGATTTATCATACCTCCCCTTTCAAAACAGATCACTTTTGATTAACTCTTTTGGTTTTAGTAAAGTAAAATAACATGGTCAGTAATATAAGATAGTTAATAGGTGGTTCTCAAAGTCAAAGTCAACGTATTAAATAAAAGTAACGGAATAACTATCAATTATAACTCATCATAGCGGGAGAGAATTCATCACAGGGGGTGGGGGGTCTCAACATGGGATTTTGGGTACAGTTGTGCAGCTGGGATTTAAACCCCCCCCCCCACATTCATATATTGAATAATTGTGAAATCCCTACCTATACATATATTTCACAGCGAAATCATAACCCATTCAGTGAAGATCGTTGCACAACAAACTGAAAAATTATGACCCATTGATATATCACAATTGGTCAATTACTACCTATTGATATATTTCCTCGGTTAGATTGAACCCCATTGATATATTTGGCGTATCAAAAAAGGGACCCATTCAAGCGGCAGATATGTATATACCTTCATTAAGGAAGAGACCCCCCCCCTGGAATTCATCAAGTATTGGTGATCAATTTTAAATAAAACTCAATATTTTAATATTTCTAACAAACATAATAATAATTACTAAATAATCAATTACCATATGACCAATCATAATCTGGGAAATTTATATAATTTATAAATACATTCGTTGTACATTAATTAATTGTATTAGCATGTGTTAAAACCAGAATACGGCCCCCTTAGTCTCTGTCTTAAATGTTGCGAGTGTCTGTATTATATATACCCCTATCGGAAAGCGTAAAAAATGAGGTTGAACCTAAAATGAATAAATGGAAGATTGGCGTCGACGCAGTTGTTTTCAGCTCACATTACGTACAATACCCATTTAAATAACTGATTATTCACTTTACTATGATTAATTTTTCTTCCTTTCCCGTTCTCAAGTTTGAACTGGCATCCTACCTCTGTACCTCAATCCTACAATAAAAGATACACACTTATTCATATTTAAAAGTGGCAAGGTCATCAATGAAGCATAATGTCTCTAAATATCATAAAAACTATTCATTTATTTTTATTTATTTATTTGTATCTTTCATCTTTAGATTGCATAATTCCAAACGCATTTTTTTTCATTTCCACGGAAAACAAATTTGACATGATAACAAAGAAACAACTTCAAAATATGATCGTCATGGGCACGTTTTTACAGTTACAAGAAACACTGTCATAATGCTATGACATTTAACTTTAAAAGGTTATTAACTAAATTAAATTTAACTTACTGCGAACAACCAATATCAAAGCAATAATTGCAGTAAGTATAAGCAAAGCAGCGACAAAAGTTACCACTGAAATAGATGTTGTTGTTGTCGAGCCTTTATGTGAAGCAACTGTTGTTGTTGCATCATTTAAATGTCTTGGTTTACTTTTATCACCTAAAATAAATAATTCAGATGGCTGTGTTGTTCATAAAGCAGATGTTAAATTATATATACATGACAAGTTATATGTAATATCTGATAAAGTTACATGTACATTTGGACATGTTCATTGATTCCACTAGAACAGGATATGAATTGATTCATGTGCATGATATCAAACAATCACATGTTCTGTACTATTTTGTGTAATTACCTACTGGATAAATTTGACGCGACGACACACAATTTTTGACCGTCAGATTTAAGAGTTACTGCAATATTTGAACATGTGAAATATATTGTTTGTCATTTTTGGCAGAAAAATTAAAGAAGTCTAAATAAGATATCGTCTAAAAGTTTACAAAAAATCCAGAAAAGCACTTCGGACGTACGAAATTATAATATGCTATTTTTATTTACAATAACGACAAAGAAACTTTTATTAAATATGCATTATTCTGAGGTCGTTGAGATCTTCCTTACTTTTTTGGTTTTATAAATGTATTGGGCGGAATTAAATTGAGAACCAGGCACTTGGCATAGTGTTTGTATTGTCAAAAAGGTATAGTAAAACTGGATTTTTAAAGTAAATATATTAAAAAAGTTTACCAATAACTATCAATAAATAAATGAAACAAACGAATCGACTCGATATAAATTAGCATCTGCTCATTTACTCCTAGTTAACACGTGGTAGTCGAGGAAAAGGGATATATTTCAGTTATTTTTTTTTAATTTTTCGTGTGAACGGTTTAGGATGACATATACGACTTCCTTCATTTAAGGCAAACACTCGGTAGCAAATGATGTAAAATCTAGAACGACATATGTGAAGTTTTAAAATGTGACACTTAACCCTTTTTAGAGGTTACTCCACGGAATTAAAAATGAAAATGCTCTATTTTTCAAATTACTAGCTTACACTGCTCTGACGCGACACACGTGGAATGTAAAATAAGAATTTGATATGTATAACCATCAGGAGATGTGGTATGATAACCAAACAAACTGTCCACCAGAGTCCGAATAAAGTGGTGTAAGCAATGTGTTTGGTTTTACCGAAAAATCATTTACACTTCACATTCTGTTCTTGAAATTGACCATGATAAAGGTAATAAGCTTTATCCTATTTATTGCGTTTTTTAGCATACGTATTAAGGGAATGACAACGGGAAAAATCTAATTTAAATTCATGCTGTGTTTAATGGTTTGTATCGAGATATTTAAATGATTTCATGAAGGCAAATTTGTTGGATTCTAACATTATCTCCCGATATATTAGTGTTCCTGATAACAAGCTGGCTGGAGCCTACTTCTTATTGCTTGCTGTTCAACGTTTGATTAATTTAGAAATTATCAAGAAACCAAGCTTTCAACTCTCTTAGAAAAAACTGGTCTTAAATGATTTACTTTTATTTTTGGGTCCTGTTTGATCATTTATCAATTAGCTCTTCAACTGTTTCGGTTCATAAACACAATTGGCTTTCAATTAGTCGGCTATGAGAGTTCCTGATGAAAGTAAATCTAGAAAAGTGCTTAGGATGCAGGAAATTTATAAAGTGTTGTTTTCATTTTTTTATACTGATGTATTTCTAATGTTTCGTATCCATCACAGCTGATTAGATTTTTTTTAAAAAGAATTGCGCATACACATGTGGTATGAAATTTATAGTCATATCTTGTGATTTTACCTGAACAATCATATGTCTGATTTCCTTTGAAGATCACTGGATCTGCTATATTACCAAATGTACACTTCAGCTCAAGTTGCTCACTACAGTCTTTTTCTTTTAACATATATTCAGCATTATACTTAAGGGGTGTTTGCCTATTGTACGTAACCGGCACTTTATTGGACTGTAAACAATGAACAAAAAAAAAAAAACACAAACAGTTAGAACGATGATGAATTATCTAAGTATATTTTTTTTCAGAATTATTGGTTATCAATGCCCTTCAACTTAGTTTTCTATTTGGCCTTTTAAACTGTTTTGATTGGCGCGTCACTGTGCATGAGTCTGGCGTACAATGTTATAAGCTTGGTATCTTTGGTGAGTTTATTAATATATATTCGATTTAATTTTCTAATTAAATTTGAATTCACAAACATTACGTCAATGCAATTTATAAAAAAAATCACTTCGTTAATATTTATTGAAATTTGTCATGTAATTTTATTCTGGAAAAAGGAACTTGTATATTCCAAATAATAGTTCATCAATAACTTGCTATTTTCAAGATTCGTCATTTACATTCAAACTTGTATGTAATTGTCACCCTGGATATCCGCGAAAAGGGACCAGGATATCCGCGAAAAGGGACCATATTAGAGTTGATCTTTGAATTGAGGTTCAAAACACATAGATATTACTACAATGGGATAAAACAATGGTAACCTGAGAAAACATGTTTTCGCTTCAAGACTTTTCTTTGACGAAAGATACAAACAAACATAAAGGGAGCATGTTTAACATTCCCACGATAATAAGAAGAGTATATTTAATTCAGTAAAACGAAAAAAAAAATATTTGAAAATAAAGAAAAATAGTTTAAAGTACACATACATCCGATCGGAATTGTTCAAGCATGCATGTTTTTAATGTTTACACCTGGTTTTGTTGAAGTATGATACTTTGAAATTATTTTTATTAATAAATGGGTATGCCATCATCAAATGATAAACGTGGATCAACAAAATTTCCAAACGAGAATGCTTCAATGTATAATAACATTTTGAAACAAAAATATTTTAGAAGGAAAAATTGATATATAACTTTTCCCCCTAATTAATGGATTAAATGATAGCAAAAACAATGCGACAATTAACATGAAACACATGTGTGAAGGGAATAAAAACTATCCTCTCTGGAAAGTAGAATTAGTTTGCAGGCCTCAAATTATTCTCATGGTATATTTCTACTTGTTATATCTCCAGTTAATGCTAGATTCACAACTGATTTGGTCTTATTGGTTTAACAGTCTTTAATTGGTTTAAATCATTATATGATTATTGAGCAATCAGGGGTTCATTTAGCATTTACAAAAGATGGTACCACGACATGAACACATGAAATGCAGTGTCAAATTGCACGAAATCTCTGTGAGACCTGCATCGCAGATTGAGTGTACCTCAAGGAAATGATAAAAAAAATCTTATAGTTAAGCATGGCGAAGATAACACATTACATTAGAGCAATTGTTTATCAAAAAACTTTTCCTATTAATGATCACAATGTTTCCTATAAAGATTACGAAGATAGAAATTCAAAATTTTGTGTAGTATTAGAATAATTCTTATTAATTGATCACGTAAAGTATATTCGTTATCCATATATATTAGAAGTCAAATTAACGATGTTTGTAGGGAGTGAGACATATCATCCAATTACGTTTGAAGCATTTTCTTATTCTACTCGCATCTTGTTTATTGTTAAGTTGCTAGTATATATTTCTCTATTAAGAAACCAAAAACTTATGAAGCAATATAACTGTTACAACTGGTTTATCTACATTGTATAACTCATTTGTTTTATGAACAATTGGACAGAAATAACGTACACCAAGAATTACTCACACCAATATACAAGGAACAATTTGGTACAGGATACTCTTTAAGCAAGTCAAGTGAAACTCGAAGAAAATTATTTTCCACAGAAAAAGTAGTAATTGTTTCTGCCTGAGGATCTGAAATTTATGGACAAATGTCAACACTCGAAAAAAAAAATTAAATAAGATAATTATTTTGATTATTTACACAGAAACTGCGTTTTTATATTCAAATGTGAAAATTTTATACAATTTATTCTAGAATAAAAACAAGCAATATAAAGACAGTATTCTAACTTTAGATATGTATTACATAATTTGAAATTTAGGACAACTGTCTAATTGATACTTAGATAACATTTTAATAAAAAAGAAATACTTACAATGAAAGGTGTTCACGTCTAGTGTCAAGTTCTTTGTTGAAGAATGAAATCCACAGGAGCAAGTGTAACTTACATTAATATCAAACTCAGTGAAGTTTTTTATAATCATCGAAAATTCAAAGGATTGCTGATTTATATATTCCTCATACTTGTTCTTATCAGACGAATACCCGTTGTACACAAGACCCATTCGTTTTGGTCCGCCTGACCACTGACGTACCGGACAATCTTTAGGATTTGTAGATATGTCTTCTAAATAACATGTTAGTATGATATCTTCACCGAAAACTGCGTTTTTGGAGGATATTGTCCAATGCACTATAAAAAATGCAAAAAAAAAAAAAAAGACAAAATCATCATGAATAAAAGGAAGGTTCGTTTTTGCATTCTTGGTTGAGTTTAAATTAAAGTGGCGCTCGAAAAAAAGAACATAAAATTTACGATTTTGCTGCGTATATTCGTGACAACGTCTTAAGGGCATACGATACAGTTACAAGGGAGGTATTGGCGTTAATTGCTAACGTAAAATGTTATTTTTCGCGACGTCAAACTGCGACATATCGGGGAAAGATGCATTTTTCGAGTGATTTTAATCATTAGCTTGAAAACAAGTACATGGACCGCTCTTTTTTAAAATGACATTTGACTTGATACTGTATGAAGATTATTTGTTCCAATTTTTATGAAAAAAATCACCGATGAATTTTTTTTAAATATATAAATATGCATAAAAAATGCCGTTTTTTTCTAAAATCTGGAAAATTTAATAAAAAATGAATTATTTACAAAGGATTGTTACACATATTAAGAGCTTAGTTTTGTTAAGAAGATATTCCAAAGCTTTCTACAAAAATCCGCATGTGTTTATCTTTTGAAACAAAAAAGTTAAGTACGTCTGTCCAAAGGATAGAAATGTCCAAGAAACCGAAATGTTAAGTAAAATTAAAGTCTAAAATTCCCACCCCATTTATTTCTAAAACATAGTACATCAAGGTATATTTTTTATTACATATGTATTTGAATTGACTAAGTGAAAAATAGCCTATAAGCAAGTTTTTGTAAAAACAATCACCGTGGGATAAAAACTGTATCGTATGCCCTTAAGCTGATTGTGTCCTGTTTACACCTAATATTTACAGAAACTAATTGAATTCGAATGAATAAAACGAATAGGTGTATTCCCTAACATTTTCATATCATTAAACACAATGCTCATACCGATAACATATGGCTTTTAAACAAAGTTATGGGGACGGAATTTCGAATTATCGGCACATATTATATTGACGTGAAATATTTGATACTATAGAGTATATATCATAGTTGCTATAATATCCAAAAAAAAATGTTTACATACCTTTGCTGAGAATGAACTGTGGAAGCAATATTTCCAACAAAACAAAGCACACCAAATTCTGTACCATTTCAACAAATAAGCATTTTTTGTGAATCTGCAGTAAAATAAACACCAGGAGATACTAATTCTGCATTGCATGACTCCACAGTTTCGTTTTGTAAATTTTGAATACTTTAAAATAAAGGTTCTATATACATGGTATTCAGTTAAAGATTTGACGACCAAAAGAGATATACTCCTCACTCTATCAGTTGATATCATATTTAAAAAAAAAAAAAAAAAAACTGAAATATTACAACATATTTTGGAATCTTACCATTTTTAAAACAGTTCAACTTTTGATATGTTATGCAAAAATAAAGTCAAATCATGTTTATAGAATGTGCTTTAGAACCCTTTTCACAGGCAAGACAATGATTGGGTTTTAAAATTACTTCAAATTTGCACATTAAAATACATAACATTAGTAAGTATGTTATTATAAGCAAGGCACATAAAGAAAATGTCAAAACAATTCAGTTGCATATACATATAACCTTATTTGCGGAAGGCGAATATCAACTATAACTTTCAGGGAACCTTTCTGTAAACCATAGAGTACATAATCCCACCAACCATAAAGTTATTTTGTTTTGCGCTAATACTTTTTGAATCAAAAATATACTCTATATATACTAAATACCCTGCCACGTCAAGTCTGTGTTTTTGTTAGATGTTTTTCTGCTTTGTTTCGATATGATGAATTAAGCCTTTTTCAACTGATTTATATAGTTTGTTCTTATGTTGTACTGTGACATCACTATCCAAGGTTAGGGGGTGGATTTGGTGCTAACAAACTAGTTTAGCCCTGCCACATTCTGTATGTGCCTGTCCCAAGTCAGGAGCCTGTAATCCAGTGGTTGTCGTTTGTTGCTGTATATCATATTTGTTTTTCGTTCATTGTTTTGTACACAAACCAGGCTGTTAGTTTTCTAGATTGAATTGTTTTACATTTGTCATTTTGAAGCGTTTTATAACTGACTATGCGGTATGGGTTTTGTTCATTGTTGAAGGCCGTACTGTGACCTATAGATGTGAACTTCTATGTCATTGGGTCTCTGGTGCGATCATATCACACCTCCTTGTTTTTATATATCAAAAGTTTACAGAAGACTAGGGAATTATGAAAATATGTATCAATGTTGTCATTGCTTCTTGCTATGTTTAGTGATTAGATCTGAAATTTGTATTTGATTAGCTTGATAACAAGATTTTTTGTGTTTGAGTATATATATTAACGTATTGCTTATTTGGTGCCCGATGGTATGTGAGAAATGTCGTTATGTTTTATTCAAAAACAGTAAGTCCCTTCATAAATCGTCATATGACAAAGTAAGAAACATTTTGGTATCAAGTTAAGTCATGCATGACCTTGACCTTTGTTCTAGAACCTTGTTCATACTTTATCTTTGAAAACAATATAGAAAGAAATAGATCTGAATTGGCAGAAAATTCAATTATTGACATATTTTGTACATAAATCCACAATTGTCCATGTTGTCCTAAAACTAATATCAGAAAACGTCCAAACTGCAGACATTGTTGAAGAAATAATTTATGGCAGCTGTAGATTTGTTTTCATTTAATCATGGGTTGGGTATTTATATTTGATTATTTTATCCAAAACGATAGCGATGGATGACATAAGAAAGTAAATGGCCAACATATGGTTAAATGAAAACAAACCTACGTCTGCCATAAATTATTTCGATTCTAATAGGACAGAACTGACAGTTTTATCAACCGTGAAAGCTCAATACATACGATACTGTTTTTGGCTGTTCCGTTTTACTCCGATATAATAATATAAATAATATTATATTATTTAGTAATAAATAAATAAACTCACATTTTTACCAACAAATTTTCTTTTTATCTGATTTTATTACATTCTTAGGCGAACAAGAAGCCTGATAACACCCAGTGTTTACATTTGACGCCGTAAGCATACATACATGACCTCACCTTGTTTAGTTGCCAAAGACGATAACATCATCTCGCGGAATTTTCGTTTTCTGAAATTTTACACCGAAATAATAACTGAAATTGACTGATTTGTTGATTTTGCATTAGAGTAGAGATAACCGTTTTGTATTTGAAGCTTGGCCTACGTCAAACGTGGGTTTTACTGTCCGCAAATTGAAATTACCTGGTCGCATAAATAAGGTGGCGTAACGCGGAACAGACAATTTTTGTGTATTAATGCGTTTGCGCTAAAATAAGATATACTGTGATTATACTTTTTGACGATATATAGGTCTTTCAGACATTGGACCTTCATTTATCAAATAAGGTGATATACTAGTATAGTGTGGTGAAAAATGTCACGGTCGATGGTCAGTGATGGTTTTGACCTTAAACTTTGTTGACGCCTTAAGAAATGGGAGAAACATTTCTTACAACATCACTATCTACAATTTTGTTTTACGAAATAACAAAATCAAGGAGCAAATTGTTACAAAGACAAAAAATCGTCAACCTCTGTCAACTTGAAGTGTAAATGTAGAAATCAGGAGATGTGGTATGATTACCAATGAGACGACTATCCACCAAAGGTCAAATTAAGTGCAAGTTAGCAATTATAGGCAACCGTACTGCATTTAACAAGGAGAACAACCCATACCATATAGTCGGCTATAAAAGGCTCCGACATGAAAAATATGAACTAATTCATTAGGGAAAACTAACGACCTAAGTTATAGCAAAACAATTTACGAAAAACAAATATGACAGACATGAACCAACGACAAGCACGAAACTCCGGGCTCGTGACTTGGGACAGGCACATTAAGAATATGGCGGGGATAAGAAAGCTTGAAGGCGCCAATCCCCCTGACCTGGGACAGTGGTGTAACAGTACAATATAAGAACAAACTATAAAAATCAGTTGAACAGGGCTTAAATCATCAGATCGATACAAAGCAAAAAAAAAAAACAAAGACACAGACGGGACGTGGCAAGGTATTTATACATCCTCACAACAAAAAAGACACAAAGTACAGATCTAACGCATTTAACTAACATTTTGTAAAGATAAATACTATGGTCATTAAGGTTAGAGCACTTTATTTAACTTGGTTTTATGATGATGTCTCCTTATAAAAATTTTGTTTTGATATGTTGACTGGATAAACCTGATTATGTACATGTCAATGCTTACAGGAAAAACCTTACAAATGATTATGAACAATTGTCCTGCAAATAACCATTATCAATAGAATAAGTAAAACATTTTAAGGTATGTGCTGAACGTTTAAGCTAAATAAAAAAAAATTTAATTTTGTCTTTGAAATTTATTATTTCCCAAATCCGAAGTACAAGGACAGCTTCTTTCTGACTCGTTTGTTTAAATGACAAGTCTCATTGGATATTCTGTTTGCAGCAAGTAAGTTGAACACAGAAACAATATCACCGTCAGATTATGTACGGGATAGATAATCATGGTTTACGTTCTTAACTATAAAAAAAGTCAGTACTTAAGTTAACAGTGGGAACTAAAATTTCAATATTCTAGTTAAGGACTGATAGTTGATAAAACTGATATATATATCGTGAAATTATTAATGAATATAAAAATATGAGTTTTAAAAAAATGGAGGTTCATTACAAAATGTCGTACGCTAATAAACTTAAACAAGTTACCTGTATATAGAGATATCCCATCACTATATTTATGCAAGTAATTGTTATTTAAAACTTGTCGGATCTATTTGAATAGCGGAAAATTGAGACAAAAGTATGTCAGTGTATTGTGAAATGATATCTCCTTGAGATGTATAATTTATCTCAGTAGGTCATCTTAGTATTTAACTTTTTATTAAGTGTTGTTTTAATGCGACTCAAATTATTTTGTCTTTCTAAATTTAATTTAATCCATTTATTGTTGAATCATCAACATGATCAAGCAAAACTCTTCAATTGGCAAATTGTTTGTCTAAATAATCCAGGAAACAATCGTCTAGTTACATCAATGTAAAAGTAAAAGTGAGAGGAGAAAACATTCGTACGATCATATTTTATATTGAACTGAATTGAAACTTCAAATGTAAAGTCATTCAGAAGGTTAAAAAGGTTACACAATCAGTTTATGATGTGTGAACGACCCAGTTACATATTCAAACATAACTTAAAAAACATCCAGTTCACTTGTATGTAATTACGGATGAAAAACTTTACCACATTTAGTTAGTTGAAAGCACCCTTTATTTGGAGTCAATCTCTTTGTGTATTAAGTGTAGTTATTGAAATGCGAGTTAAGTACCTTGTGTAATATTAAGGTATATCGGAAAAAATTTTCTGAGACAAGTGCCTGTGCCGTTTTAGTATGGTAAGTCTCTGCTTGTATTTTCTATAGCAATATATAGCAATATATTCCTAAGATGAAAAGTAAGCCTTGAAGAAGAAATTGAAAAAAAATCTCCATCAATAAATCTTGACGTTTTTGTTTATTGATATAAAAATAAGAAGTTTTGGTATGGTTGCCGATGAGACACCTGATTAAATTTTTGAATTTTCGGAAAAGATCAATTAGCAGGAATGTATGTTTATTAAGTTTCAATTCTTTTTTTTTTTGGTTTTGTTTTAATAGTTCAACCTTATAGCATCTAAATCTTTGCAATATGGTGCGATTTGGAAAATTATATGCATTGTGTTGACCAGCTATCCTACACACGTCTTAGTTCATTTACATTATATTACACTATGTTCACACTATACAACAAAATCGAATTTTGATTTGACAACAATAAATCAGATTTTGATTTGACAACAATATCTGTTTGTGTTTACACAAATTCCAGATTAAATAGCAATAAATCCAGAGTCAAACTACTTGAGGTAGATAGTTTAGTATCCTAATTCAACTTTCATTAGATTTGAGTCTAGAATAAATATGCGCGATTACGCAAATGCATATTCTAATCTAGAATATCAATGCGTATGATTTTGTTTCTCTTTTCTTTTCTTTTTTTTGAGTGACTGTCCCATCATAAACTTTGTAATTTTCGAAATGCTAAGGGTTTTCTACCCCAGGAATTAATTACCTTAGCTGTCGG